AAAAAAAAAAAAAAAAAAAAAATTACTCCACTAATGATGGTGAATAGACATAACTATCACCATGAAAAAAAAAAACATTCCATAAAAAATACCGGCCATCAAGAATTCAAAAATTTCTAGAATTCTAAAATAAATTAAACTGCTAAGAGAGAAAAACATAGAAGAAATTGCATGTCATACTATCATGCTTACACTATTTAACACTTTTGCACCCTTTTATTTTTTATTTTTTAAATCACCTAAACCACATAAAAGATTTTTAATTATACCTAAAAACCTTATGAACCGTTATTAACATTTTTAATAATGGTAATGATATACTTAAGTCAAATTAATTATCCACTTATAAAAAAAAGTGGAACTAAAAAGTAAAGGTAGTCATCCCCACTAACCCACGTATCCCTTCATCTTCTCAAACCGCTCAACAGTTTCGCCGATTTCAAAATTCAATGGCAAAAACCAAAATCCCTCCTCCTCAACGAAAAAATCCGCGGATGGTGGCGACGTTTCACCGGTTATTAGATCTAGTGCCCGACTCCGTAAAATCCTCTCAAAAAATCAATCGAAACTCGTTCAAAAAAAATTAATTTTCGATAAAAACTCTAACCCTAAGCCTAGTCGTCGCAGGGTTTCTGACAAGGCGAAAATGAGAAAACCAACTTCGTCTCCCGGTTCAGACGACTTCCAGTCCGACACAAACAAACCGAAAAAGTCTCGGCAAACACATAAACTGGAGAAGCCAACCCGAGTTTCAAGCGAAGAAGACCCTGAGTTCGAGTGTGTAAGCCAACCCGAAGAAAGCGGCAGTGAAGAAGATTTGGAAGAAGAAGACTCTCCTGTTGGCTTGTTGACGAAAAATAAGAAAGAAAAGGACAGCCAAAGAAAGGGACGAAGCCAACGGATTGAAAAAAGAAAAAAAGAAAAATGGACAATATTGATGTCACCAAGTCCCCTCGAGATTTTCAGAAAGGAATAACATACAAGGTATTTGCCCTAAAGCATCATTTTTTTGAATCGAATTTTTTGGCACAAGTTTGTATGTTAATTGGTATGGTCACTGATTTATCACCATTTAGTAACATTGGGGTCTATATACTATTACGAGGTTGTTCATTACAAATGTAGTATATTTTTCTGTTTATTCAGTGTTCTTATTGCAATGATAGTATTCAGTGTTCATAACACTTTTATTTGAATGATAATTAGTACAGGACATAATTGTAAGTATATTTCAAGTACATTGAACAGAACATTCTCAATTGTAGGTCTGAGTTTTTTAGTATATTTCAAGTTTATTGAAAAGAACTTTTACATAAAATTCTTATTTGAATGATAATTGTGTTTTTCATAACACTTTTATTTCAGCTCAAGAATATGCAAGGTTTATTTTCAGTTATATGTTAGTTTTTAATACTGATTTTATTCCTCTATATACTGGTATGTTTGCAGTCATGTAGAGTTTTGCCAAAATTGTGTTATGTGGTTGTTCATTACAAATGTAGTATATTTTCTGTATATTCAATGTTCTTCTTGCAATGATAGTATTTAAAAGTTTAATTCTTTTTTGTCAAATAATTCTATTGTAATGTTAAGTATATTTGTAACACAAATTTCTAATATATGTAAGGTTTTATTTGCATGATACGAATATTTCTAATATAGGCAAGGTTTTATTTCTAATATATGCAAGGTTTTATTTGGAGGGCTAAGTTTTTTAGTATATTTCAAGTATATTTATCAGAACTTGAACCTAAAATGCTTAGTTGAATGATAATTATGTTTTTCATGACACTTTTATTTGAATGATAATTAGTACAGAGCATAATTTTAAGTATATTTCAAGTTTATTGAAAAGAACTTTAACATCAAATTCTTATTTGAATAATAATTGTGTTTTTCATAACACTTATATTTCAGCTCAAGCATATGCAAGTTTATTTTCAAGTTATATGTTAGGTTTTAATACTGATTTTATTCCTTAGACTTTTAATACTGAAATTTTTCTGTCACAACACTTGGTTTTTAATTGCAGGGCATATGTTTAAGTATATTTCAAGTAGATTGAACAGGACATTATCAATTGTAAAAGTATATATTTAAAGTATTTTCAATTTTACCTTAAAGTAGATTGAACATGGTAGATGTTTATAGGGCATATATTTATTGCAGGGTATATTGAACAGGGCATATATTTTTACGGTATTTTTTTTTTTTTGTAATTTAATTGCTTTTTATTCTTTATTTTTTCAGGAATGGCAATTGCTCATCCCGCACCCCAGGGACATAAATGTCAAGGTCCAAAACATCAACGATAACAACAAAGATTGATCCACGATCAACGATATCAAGAGGACTCTTACTACCGAACAATTGGAAGCATTCAGGAGATCACCATTTGGGAAGTTCCTTAATCTCCCTCACTCCATAGTACAAAACCAACTAATCAACCTTATACTCTTACGCGAGGTTCATCAGAATATGAGCGATGAGGTTTGGTTCGATTTTGGAGGTAAGTTACTTTATTTCGGTATAAAGGAATTTGATGTTATAACCTGACTGAAATGCGTTGGAAAAAGCAAAAAGCTGAACATTCCAAAGATCTTTGGTGGTCTACACGACAAGTATTTGGATGGTGTAGAATTGAGACGTAACCACATCAGGTGGCAATTTCTTAAGAAAGCATGGTCTAATGATGAGGATGCGGTGAAATTTGCGAAGTTACACTTACTGGCAAATTTCCTGATGGGCTCACAAGAAGCCCTTTGCATTGACCGCTGCTACGTTGACTTGATTGACAGTCCAGATTGTGATGACCACGCTTGGGGGAAAGAAGTTTTTTATTTCACTCTTTACTATATGAAGAAGTCAATTCATACTAGAGAGCAAATGCACATTTATGAGAAGCCCGAGGGTGCTGGATATCTGTACAGGTGTTATGGCCTTATCTTGGCTCTCCAGACGTGGTTCTACGAGGTTTGCGACACCGCTGAAGGTGTAATATGCACCACTGTTGGTGAACATGATATACCGAGGATATTGAAATGGGAAGTTCGTGACAGTTACAACCGCCTTTTTCTGCAGAGGACCTTCTTAAATCTACCCCACACCAAAGTAATTATTACTGTTTTGTTATTTTATTGATTTCGTTGTCGATAAGCTTTTTTGTAACAACTTTCCTTGTTAATGTGTATGATCAGAACTTGAACAGTATTTGAACAGAACTTGAGCAGATAGTATTTTCAT